TATACAAATTATATATATATTGTATCCTAAATAGGGGTTGAATGACTTCAGATTTTTTTTGAAGTCGACATTTATGTGATGAAAGTTGAGTCTCTAGGGCTCATCTAGTTGACATGGTTGTAGAGGTCGTCTCTAGGTGCTGATCCACCATCTGGTCTGGATATGGACTGGATCTGGGTGGCTACAGTGACCATCTGGTCTGGAAACAAACTGGATCTGGGTGGATACAGTGACCTCGAAATAAAAGTGAAACAGACTAATATTAGCGTAGATTCCATTCTTCTTACGATGTAACGAGTACATTGGGTGTTATGGAAAGTGTTCCTGGTTCCGGTTGACCTAATTAATGTAGCCTAACAATCCTTTAACGGATTTGAATGATAGAAATGTGATCGTGCGTTATGTGTATGCCAGGTTAAAGAGATGGGTCTTTAATCTAGATTTAAACTTGACAGAGTGTGTCTGCCTCCCGAACAATGCTAGGTAGATTGTTCCAGAGTTTAGTATGGTATGATTTTGATATTCTAGGTATAATCAAATGGCCAGAGTTTTGAAATCATTACAGTAATCTAAAGCATTACAATAATCTAACCTTGAGGTCATGAATGCATGAATTAACGTTTCTGCATTTGACATTGAGAGCATAGGTCTAATTTAGATAGATTTTTAAGATGGAACAATGTGGTTTTATGAATGCTAGAGACATAGTTTTCAAAGGAAAGATTGCTATCAAATAGCACACCTAGGTTCCTAACTGGTGATGAAGAATTGACAGAGCAGCCATCAAGTGTAAGACAGTGTTCTAGTTTATTACATGCCGAGTAAAATGCTTTTTTTTCAGAATTTAGCAGTAGGAAATTACTAGTCATCCAGTTTTTAATGCATTCCGTTAGTTTTACAAATTGGTGTTTCGTCGGGCCGCGAAGAAATATAGAGCTGAGTATCATCAGCATAACAGTGAAAGCTAACACCATGTTTCCTGTTGATATCTCCCAAGGGTAACATGTAAAGTGTAAAAATCTCTCAACTAATACTGTAAAATATACAAAAGTCAGGTGGTAGTGCATTATAATATTGAAGGTTGAAATTTACTGATTTGTGCTGTACAACTGCTTAAATGGCACTTAATGACGTTTTTATATTTATTGAGTTACAATTAGGCTCCATTAGTTAGTTAGTTTTTTTTTTTTTTTTTTTTTTTTTTTTTAATATACACATTTAAATAGTGGCTATCATAAAAACTTGGACGGATTTATTCAAACATAAATAAAACTTTAAAAAACGGTAAAAAATTATAATGAATGTTATTTTTCTTGCTGACTTATCGAGTTTATGGTCACCGAATATGCTTTCTGAGGTAAATGTGATGTTACATGAATTGCTGTTGTAAGAAAAGCTGTTGTATTGACGTCCTTGCGTGGCTGAAACACTGATTGAGCGATTACATGAGACAGGATACGGACTGAAAAGTTGGGATGTTTAGTCATGTTTATTTTGTGCTGAAACTGGTATTAATGTGACGGAGATGATCAGTTCACTTGCGCCTCGTGCTGCCGCATCTGTTGAACTGAGGCGCTACAGCGATCTGTCACTCCCCATGAAACAGCGCCAAAATAGCATTTATTGTTTGAATACTGCAATACAATGGACATAAATTGAAATCTGAGACTTTGTTTCATATTAAAAGTACCAACGCACAATGCTTATTGCGATTTATTGGATGGGAGGTGCGCTTCAATATTCTATCCATTAACTGAAAACAGGATGGACTAATCGATTCTCGGAATTTAAGAACCGATATCATTTCGTAAAAATGAGAATCGATAAAAATCGAGATATCGATATCTTTTACCCAGCCCTACTCCATACTGTACTTGTGATCGATGTGATACCGCTTCATTCACTTCTACGAATTGATGACAGTCAGATAAGTAAGATTTAAACCATGCCAATGCAATTCCACTAATGTCAACATAATTTTGTAGTCTACTCGAAAGAATATTGTGGTCGATAGTGTCAAAACGTGTTCTGTTCTGAGAGTTTGTTCAGCTAGTTTTCTGTAACAGGCCAGTGGTTGCTCTCTTAAGCTGCAAACGCAGATTGTTTTTCTTCAATATCAAATGCTTTCCCTAGTAAAAAAAAGTAATATATTTAAAATAAATTTTTCATACTAAGTAGTTCAAATCTATTTACATATTTACTGATGTATCGCTTGCGACTTACTAATATAAATATTACTAATACCTGTGCACAATGCACATTTCTTAATATTAAGCCTAAAATGTGTTTTAAAGGGGTCATTTGATGCTTTTTTAAAGATCATTATTTTGTGTATTTGGTGTAACAGAATGTTGACATGCTTTAATGTTCAAAAAACACATTATTTTTCAAATACTGTACATTATTGTACAGTAATATAGTCCTCTATGCCCCGCCTCTCTCAAACGCTTCGTTTTCTACAAAGTCCCTCCTTCCGACAAGCGCAGTCTGCTCTGATTGGCCAGCTAACCCAGTGCATTGTGATTGGCCGAACACCGCAAGCACTCGTCGGAAATGTAACGCCCCTTACCATAATCGCGAGCTTCATCTTTCAAAATAAATGTAAAGACAGAGCCTGAAAGGGGAACAGAGTCTCGTGACACACACAGTGATGAATGTGTTTGCAGTACACAAGCCACGGTTAAGGCAGCTGACTCCACTGTGATGTGTCTCGCGCTCTCTCTCTCTCGCTCGCTCGCACACACGCACACACACACAATGCTCAAAACTCCGCATTTGAACAGTCAATAGCAAATACTTCATATAATAACAAAACAGTAGCTGATTCAGAAGCGCCATATTGTCATAGCAAAGTCAGAATTACCTCCTCTCTTAGGTTCACGCAACGGTCGTCCATAAAATGCATTGCTGTTCTGTTGTTAGTAATCTTAAAGATTCCTTAATGCATCAATTTTCGGAAGGCCAAATAAAGTGCTTTTGCTTTCTCCTAGAAACACACAGCGTCTCCCTGACATGGCTGCTTCAACACTAACTGCGGTTACTGAAACCATGCCTTCTTTCTTCGCGTGAACATTTGGGTGGCATTATGCAAATATTTCCACATAGTGAGGTAGATATGTGGGGGCGTGTTAGAACGAGCCATGTCTTGTGGGGGCGTGGCAGAGTCTTAACTTTGAAGAATATCTCTTTGGTTTTGAGACTTTAGTGTTTGCAACTTCAGGGATCTTATCTATGCACAATCAGCTTGTAACACTCCAAAGAGAAAGGAAATCTTGAAATCGCATCATATGACCCCTTTAATGTCACTACTGATGAGGATTGTATGATCTTTGTCTTTATGTCGGTCTTTAAATGCAAGATATTTAAAGTTTACCTAAAGTATACTTGCAATAGTTCCACTTTAGCACAATCAAATATATTTCAGTATCTTTAGTTGGACTTCAGCACTACTTCCACACAATTAAAGTTCATTAAGTACAAAATGAGTTGTTCCAATTTAGCAGACTTTTAAGTATATCAGTTTAGTATACTGAAAGTACAGTTGCAGTGTATTTTTAAGTACATATGTAAATGTATATGTAGTATATACTTAGCATGAAATAAATGCATTTCAAATCCATTTTAGTATAGGCCTATTTATTTTTCACTAGGGTTTACTTACTGATGTACAATCTGTTTAAATACTAAAATAATTTTTCCTACAATCAGATCAGGAGAAGAGGACTGATTTTACACAGGAGGAAAACTGATCATTTGAATCAGTTTATGGAGGTACATGCATTAAAATGCTTTGTGGAAAGACCTCAGAATCTCATAGAGACGTTAAGAGTGGTTCTTTTGACTTATAAGAGCAAGCAACAAAATGGCAATGCACCAGCAATCACCACCCTAGAAACGGCACAACAATCACAAAGACAACACCCTTGGTACTAAATCAAAATAATTAAAAATCTTTCTGTCAGACTGTAATTTCACAAATAGCGGAAGTGAATCAGTGCTGTCGCATCCTCTCTTCCTCTCTCTCTCTCGCTCACACACACCCACACTTCCTTGTGCAACTGTATGCAGGCTAGGCCAGTGGTTCTTAATCCTGGTCCTAGGGACCCCCCGCTCTGTACATTTTTTTTATGTCTCAGTTCATGTTCAGTTCATGGAGCTCTCTCCTAACAAGCTGATGATCTCAATCAGGTGGGTCAAATAAGGGAAACATTGAAAATGTGTAGAGTGGGGGGTCCTCGGCACCAGGATTAAGAACCACTGGGCTAGGCTATTGTGCAATGAAAATAACCCCATAGCACCATCTAGTGTCCAAGTTGTATGTTTTCAAATTTCGGCACACAATAGGCCAAAGTAGAACATACATAAATAAATAATACTAGTCGTGGTTGTTGTAAAAACAGAGCAATAATCAACATTACTATTCAGGAAAGACATTTATACCTTGTTTGTGTGGGGGACGCTAAGGGACCTGGATGATGGATAGGGTGGTGCTAGCCCCCCAAAAAAGGTTGAGAATTACTGATGTAAAATGGTTTTAGAATGTAAAATTATTTTAGAATGTAAAATGGTTTGTGAAATATTATAGATTTTCAAATATTTCAGATTATCAAAAATAAATCAGTTTAGGTGAATACAGTGATGCTTTGATTGGTGGAGTTTTCTGTACACTGCAGGGTCATGGATAGTGTAGTTCACCAGAAAATGTAATTGAAAAATAATTTATAATGGTTTTATGATTACTTTCATACAAAATAAGTCACATTCCCAGAAATGCTTGATGTAGTATCCTTGAGGCTTTTCATGCTGAAAGAGTCCTTGATTTTGGTGTTCATAAAAGAGTGGGTACCATGCAGCATAGCAACCACTTGCATCACAATGTATCCCTGTTATCAGTACTATACAGCATGCTAGCATCATGGGGGTGAGTTTTGCACAGACTTTCTTCAGAAAATGTGAAAATCAACTTTCTACATTTTTGATCTTCTGTTTTCTTTGTACAGAGTCCAGGAACGCATATCTGTTGGCAGTACTTCTACGCCACTGTCAAATACACACATCAACGACACACACACATCATTGCACAGCAAGCACACACACTCTCCCTCCAGAATCCATTCCAGCAGCAGCTTGAGCCTGGTTCATCACAGCTCCCAGCACTGTATCAAAGACTCACCCTGCAGCCGAGAGAGAAGCTGGATCACTGCTGAACTGTCTGATAAAAGTAACTTTGAGCCGAAGAACTTGCTTAGTCTTTTTGATGAGGCCACCCTAGAAAGCAAGCCTTGAGTTGTGAATGCAACACTTCTATCAGTATATAGCCAATGTCTAATTTTAAATTGCCATCTGACCTTTTGTAAGATAACTTTCCTTTATGTGGGGAAACATTTAAACCTGGTTTGATTATAGTTTTTCCTTGTTGTTTTTGTTTGTTTGTTTTTTTGGCTGGTGCAAGTGTGGCATAGTTTGCCAAGACCTCAGAAGACTTGAGATACATGCATATCTTTAAGAGAAAATTATATCCTGTGTAAATTGTACAGAAATTTTGCAACATGTTTTTCAACATGTTGGCATTTCTGTCAGAATAAATCAACTCGTTCAATGATTTGACACTCAATTAAAAGGCTGTATGGAAATAGCATCAACACACCACTCCTAAGTTACTCTTTCCTATAATAAGTTTTATTAGCATTCGGCCGGGGTCACTTCAGACAAAGCAGAGCAACCCCACAAGCAGAAAAATACACACACATTTATGCCTTGCTGTTTTTGTTAAAAAATAACCAAGTTACATGAGGTGTGCATAAGCTGAACAGTTTCTACAATTTGATTGATTACACTCATCTGGGCTGATAGTGGCAGTTGATGTTTCCTAGTGATAATTACTGAAGTCTAGACTGTTTAATCATGATATGCATAAACCGTTGATTGGCCTCACACTAGTTCCAATTTCTCTGGGGGCCTATTGTTTCAGTGTTACTTTTTACCTTCCTAGAAGCATAAGCATGCACAGGGACATTTTAGGGTTTTTTTTCTGATTAAAGCATAAGTATAGAACGTTTTTCTGTAAATTTCCAATAAAATGTTTACATGAACACAATTTAAAATAAAACATGTTTATTAAATTGGGAAATAGCTACTGAAAGACAACTGAATTGCTTCTTTTTCAGATTACACTCAAGTGTGAACATCCTGTGAACAAAATACATTACTTAGTTTGTTTTGCAGATCGAGGGCAATATTTTTTATTAAGCAGTAGAATCTAAATATACAATTTATAAATAAACAAATATTTATAGTTTTGCTGAATATTGCAGTCCGTTTGTAAGGTTGAATAAAATTGTTGATTCAGTTATCTGTATTTGGCAATATGATGTAATGGTGTAGAAGCCTGTGAAAATAATATTTTAATTTGGCATGAGTGCAAAAACAATCCATTTTTAGCTTATATTTCCAGATTGTGATTGAACTGAGTTTCAGGAATATAATATAAAAAATATTTTAAAAAGTATTAAACTGCAAATGCAAGTGTTTATTGAATGCATTGTTAAATAAACAACTTTCCAATTAAAAACTAAATAAAAGTTTAGGATTTTTCTGTGGAATTTTCTATTTTTCATATAATATGCAATGACCAGATATAACATGATGGTAATTTGTATGATTCATAGACTTAAATTACTTCTTTCTTTTTTTTTCAATTCAAGTTTTTAAATCTATTCCAAATAAAAGTTGCAGAATAACTTGCTCTTCCTGTGAAAGGCACATTGCTCTAACTTTAATATTTAGACAGTAAAATCTATCAACTTGAATAATGTTACAATTAAAAAGAAAGTTTTTAGGATTCTTTCAGGGAAAAACTCAGAAGTAAAGAATAATAAAATAAACAAACAAAAATGAGCAAATACTCAAACTCGGACAACAGCTATTTGCATTTGGAGAAAAAAACTGGCAAATACTTGGCAACACAATTAAAAGCAGCAAACTGGGGAAAAAATCAAGCATTACATCTATTAAAAATCAATCAGGCACTATAACTCAAAATGCATCTGAAATGATTTATTTAGGTTATATTACTTAAAACTCCATATTACAGACCAGAATGCATCGTTGGAAAAAGTCAAATCTTTTCTGTGGGATGTCTCCATGCTGCAGGTATCACAAATGCAATCAGAACAATTAGAAAAACCTTTATGCATTCAGGAAACACAAAAGCACTTCATCACATACCAAATAAAGAATCACCTGGTCCAGAAACAGTTTCCCAGCAAGAGTTCAAACTGCCTACATTTCTCTCATTCCAAAACCAAACAGGCATTACAGCCAATGTTCCAGCTACTGTACAATATCATTAATTAATGTAGACTTGAAAGTCATCAGCAAGGTAACTGGCAGGTAGACTGGAATCTGTGAATTCAACCTTGTAACACCCCGATCAAACTAAAACAGTTCCTCTAACACAAACAGAACACCATTTTTTATTTTATTTCTAGATGCAGAAAATGCCTTTGATAGGGTAGAATGGTCCTGGGCCACTTGTACAATGAAGGCCTGTTCATGACCTTCTATCTTATTCAGTCAAAATACAATTTACCACATCATACATTCAATATATACATTTAAATTAAGTCATAAAAAATAAATTGGTTCTGGGACTCTGAAGATGTTTTATTCCCCCATATACCCCACTATTAAATCTTTAAAACAAGATAAAATAATTCACAAAAATATACATTCTTAATATCTACAGAAAATTACAAAGTCACTCCAATTCAACAATGGGCTAACAACATAGGTACAGATCAAAATATTAACTGCCAAGGAGTTTGCAGCTATGTTTGTTCTGTCTTGCAATACCAAAATTCAAATGATTCAATACATGATTATCCATAGAACACACAACACAACATACAATAAACTTCAGTGCATGGGTTACATAAAAAAAATCTAATTAATCAATAAATTAATAAATCTGTCCACTTGTTCAAAACTTTTTGTTGGAGGACATAAGCAGGCTGTCAGACATTCTTGGGTTGTTACGCCCCGTTTAGGGTAAAGGCAAACACTCGAATGAACACACACAGGTACTCTCAGTCTTACTAACACGGTATGAAACTAACTAGCAAATTCAAGCAGACCAAACACAGCGAGTGAGCACAAGGCTGATGTAGGAAGTGATGAAGGAGGCTTTAATAGGTAGCTAGGAGTCAGCTGACCAATGGGCGTGGCACCAATTAGACTGCAGGAACCAATCAGTTTTCTTCCTGGACAGAAGACACACAAACACCTCCCAAAACAAAAGAAAACACAGAAATAGAACATTGGGGACGTAACACCCCCATACACAAGAACAAACATGTTTCATGTTTAAGGACAAGTTCTTGACAGAGAATCAACATTAACATACCCTTGCCTTTCTTATACTTGATGTGCAAGTACAGAAGTTTCTGTAGAAATGTTTCTGATGTAGTGAAACTTGTATCCAGCCATGCCTGGGAAGCATCGAAGTTCTCTCTTTGTCTGAAGTATGGGGAAATTAACAATGGCAGTGACTTTTGGCTTATACTGTAGGAAGGCATCTGGAGTAGCAAATGCTGAAATCTCCGATTTCCGACTTGCCAATAACCCTTGAGTAAGTCTAACTTGGTTACAAACTTCTCCCAATTCTGACAATACAAGCTTCTATTCTTGGAAGCAGATAGGAATCTGCTTTGGTGACCTGAGAGAGAGTATAGGCTACTATGTGTCAAAAAGTTTGATTTATT